TCTCCAGCTCAGTGTTTTCAATGCGTGAGACGTAATGCGGGGCGCAAAGTCAGTTTACACGCACATGTGCAAGGCGCAATGCGATGCGCGCGCCCGAGCGAAGCGAGGCGCACTCCAGACCACAAAAATTTTGAAGATATACAAAATTATTCAAACTTTCATACTAGTGTATTTACTGTATTGCATCACTAACAATTATACTGCCAAAGAAAAAAAACAGTTAGCAATCAAGAGCAAGCAAAAATAAAATAAAATAAAATAAAACAACAACAATTAACAGTCGAGACAAAAGTCCACTTAATCTCTCTTTATATGTTAGTTTCCACTTACTCTCTCTTTATATGTTAGTCAGCAAGTGCGATTGTCTACACCAAGTATTAAGTTGCTTCTCCACATTAATAACACATACATTTTCATTAAAATAAAATGAAGCCAGATACTTTTGAGCACAACATTTTTTAACAACTCTAGATGCAGACTGCTTCAGAAAATACTTAAACTATCCAATAGTTAGTGTTCACAATACTTTACTGTTCACTATTCACTAATTTTCACAATTTCATCTCGTGACTTGAGTGTGGAATCTTTCAAGAGAACAAAGAGAGGGAAGAATGTACCTCAATGTTGACTGCTACTCGCCGTCGCTGATTCCGTCGATTGTCGCTGCTGACTTGTGAAAACGAGAGGCGCTGTAGGGAGATCGAAGAGAAAAAGGGCGAGCCCTAACATCTAGATTTTTCTTTGGGTAGAGTTATAAGTATTTGAGTTTAAGTGGGAATCGGGTTTTTACTCGATAACCCGCTGGACTAACTTTAAAAAAAAATCAAAACGCGAGCAGTTAACTGAGGCGATCACCTCTACGAGCATGCAAGGCGTTGAGGGGTGCTCTCCAGGCGTGCGCTCGACGCAAGCGTATCTCCCCGCACCTGCTGCGAGGCGCTATGCCACTGCACCGAAGCGCCCAACGCCTGAGGTGCGCACTTGGATGCGCCTATAAAAACACTGCTCCAACTTAGTAGAAGAAGAGGTAATCTTGGTAAGAAAACCCTAAGTCTAATTTCATATTTATTTTTTATTAGATTTCCACCTTCTTCATCTTCATGAAACTAAAGCATTGGAGGGTCATCAAGGCGCCAAGGCTGGGTGTCTTCTAACCATTTGTTAGTGGTTTCAAGAGTAGTTCAACCCACAAAACAGTCAGCGGAGGAAACAAAGAAGCCTCCACAATTTTTTGAATCACAAGACCTTCCTAACAATGAAAAAAGAGTATTTCACATATGAATTTGAAGAGAAGAAAGGGAGATTCTTAGTTTCTATGGACATTGGAAACTAGAGAAAGTGTGAATCCTATGTTATTTGCTTTATTTAGCATTAGGAAGGAAGTTGAATTGAGGTCTTAGATGTCTTAGATGACATGATATCAATTGTTGCATATTTCTCTCTAATTTAGTAAAGAGCAAGGTTATCGATAGCGGATAACGTCGCGTAGCAGTGAGGCATCGCTAAGACTATTTAGGCCTATTGAAGCAAAATAGCGGTAAAAAGAGCAAAGTCAAACAGCGGTCTAATTTAGATATATATAAATATTCAAAAAATTTATAGAAAATTCTAGAAAATCTAATAGTGCATATTTTATGATTTAAAGAGATTCTAAACATGAAATAGACATGTAACTGTCATATAATACGAAGATGACTAGAGGAGTCAAAAGAGTCGTCGTCTTCGAGAATATGAGTGAGAGGACTGCAGTAGGAGGAGCTCATGGCGAGAAGAGGTGAGAGGAAGTGCTGAGGGAGGTGCCGGAGACTATGGGAGACAACAGGAATACGCCAGAAATCGCGGGAGGCAGTGGGATGTAGTGGTTGCGGGTCGGGTTTAATTTAAAAAATAAACCTCAAACCGCTTTTAAATATTGATCAAAAAGCAAATTTTGCCCGCAATCGCCCGCTATTTACCGCTATAGCGCACTATTGGCCGCTTTTGTGAGCGGAAAACACATTCCATAGTATGTCACCACTATTAAGTGATAGCGTAACGGGAAGGGACCGCTAACGCTATTAGCGCCGCTATTACGGCGCTATTTACCGCTATTTATAACAGTGGTAAAGAGTGGAATATTCAAGAGAAAAAGTTAGATAACATGGAGGAGCTTTTTTCCCAGGATTTTCCTCCTTTGCAGGAGGAAAGTTTTTTGGGATGTTTTCTTTGTGGTATATGGGTCCATAGAAACTATAAACTTTAATTGCCAGCTTTTTTTTTTCTTTTTCCTAAAATCGATGTGCCAAATATAGATTATAAGAATTTTGTTGAAGATCCCTCGAACGTTTCTAAACTTTCTAGTAAACTCCACATGCCAAGCAGCCCAAACCAGACTACTTGGGTTAGCATTTATCTTTCTGCACAAATATGCAAATTAGGAAGAACAATCTCTCAAAAGATGTAATAAACTTCAACTAATTTGATACAGCTGCATTATATGATGTTGCTTTCCTGCTATTTTGATGTCACCTATCCTTTACATGACCGACTTAGTTGTTCACAGCACATTTCCTTCATAAGCTTGGATTGTGGGGAGACAATACCCACTATCTCAACATTAAACAATGCAATTCCCAGACCTCAATAAGAAATTTATCAACTTTTTCGCTCATTTCTTATATAAATGCCTACTAATCTACGCATTTCATTCATCAAACAGTAGTATAAATCGACATTAATGCCCAAATTCCATCCATTAGTTTTACTCATTAGCGCTCACGTTTCATCCATAATGTTTTACTAATTAGCACTCGCATTTCAGCCAAATTTGTTCCATCCAGTGCCCAGCATGCTAAAAAACAAACTTACTTCAAAAATCTGCTTATCATTCAATGATATCATATCCACTAGCTTATAATCTCTAAATAATGAAACATGCATTGCACTATTTGCCTTGTTTTACATATCTACTATCTACAATTGTTTTCAACTTTCTTCATTATTTTGTGCAATTGATCGTACAATTGAAAACTAGTGTGCGGATGACATTTAGTATATAGCATACCCAAGATTATACAACCACACATTGTCGATCATTTGACTAAAGCCTCAGTTACACTATTCATACATCTGAAGGAGATTGTAAATATTCCAATCACTTTTGGCCCCTTTGCTTTAATCTAATCCTGGAAAATACTAACTAGACTACAAGAATCGTACTAATCTTATACTACAAGACACAAAAATGTGAGGTCCATAAAAACTCATCATTTCTTATTGTAATCTCAAGAAATGATGCCACATTTTTGGGTCTTATAGTACGAAAGTAGTATAACTCTTGTAGTCTAGTTATCACTGCTTTCTTACATTTGCATTTCTTGGCTTGTGTCCCATTTTTGTTTTTGGCTAAATGATTCTTAAAAATGATTATGGGTTGTTTTTGCAGTAGACGAGCATTCATAACACCATCTTCGCCTCTTAGAAGAACCTACCCTACAATGCTAGTCAAGCATTTGATGTTCGTTTTTTGCCCATACTCATACAATATTTCAGAAACTAACCATAACGTCCAACTAGAATAGCATAAAACTATCTCCAGGCTCCAATGTGCTTTGTTATCAGTTATCAGTTATCACAGATACATTAATTATTTTATTACTATTTATCCAAAATATCTTTTTAACAAAAACATCAGAAAACTATCAGTAATTAAAAGGCTAAATATGAACTTTAAAGAGAAATAAAATTGCTTCCTGCAAAAGAAATAATAAAATTTTTATCTAATAACCGCTACTTACAACTAGGGGTGGTAAATGATCGAATCGAATCGAATACTAAAGTGTTCGTATTTGTATTTGTTTAAAATTATCGAATTCGAATGCAAACTCTAATATTAATATATGGAGTTTTTCGAATACGAACTCGAATACTTGGTATTTGATAAATATTCATGAATATTCACGAATACTTTTCGAATATCAAAGTA